AACAAAAGATTCCCTCAGGCACTGCCAGGCCACACCAAAAAAACTGCCAGGCCATCAAATGCTAATCAAGGTGGTCAGTTGAAACATTTACACCTAGCTCCAACAGACAAAAGTTCTTTGTCCCACCCTGGTCATTTCACAGATATATAAAAGCAATTTTCCTAGTTCCAACAGACCTTACAACCTCTGAGGATGCCTGCCATAGGTGCAGGCGAAATGTCAGGAGAGCATAGAACATAATCATATATCCCGAAAAAACTTACAACAACCCAGCGATTCTGGGCTTGAAAGCCTTTGACAATACAATGTCTCAATGGCCTGCTGTTTACTTTTTAGAGTGTGCAAAAGTTGACTTTAGAAAGGACAGAGAGAAGCTGCACCAGCTGACCATCATGAGATTTTTTTTTCAGACTACAGTTGGGGAACAGTGTGTGTGGGGGGAAGTCAGTAACTTAAGTGTTTTCCCCCCATTCTGTTCACTTCTTAGCCTTCCTGTTCAACATTGATCTGTTTGAGATTTTAGCAATGCGCCAAAAGGATGGCAAGTCATGCATACAGATTTGCATTCTCAGCTGACATTTGCCTTTTTTTTTATTAAACTGCCTCATTAAACATTAAAGATTTGCCTGCAGAGATGTAGATTGAAAGGCTTTCCCCCCTTTTCTAGCTTTCCATCAGCATATAACTTTGCAAATTTCCAGTGAAGAAGAAAGAAAAGGAATCAAGGAATAAAGTTGCATAAATCTATAGTTATCTCCCATTTGCACTGAATCCGAAAAAGCAGGGGTGAAGTGGTATTTCAGGTCCATGCCATTTTTGCATGTATGTGTTTATCCTAAGGATGAACGAGACTTTCATTTAGTCAATATTTCAGAATGTTTGGGGGAAAGCTAATTGATTTGTTAAATTATTAATATCTTAGATTTCCCCTAACATAGTTTAGCTCTGCAGATTTCCTGATTAACACTTAATGTAGTCTTACAGTTTAAGAAATTAACAAGTTTAGATTTTTAATGGGTGGGGGGGGGCAGCACTTTCTGCCAGATTCAGTAAGCCAGGGGAGCCACAGCAGAAGATGGTTTTGAAACGGAGGAAATGCATTATGTGGCTTTGTGCTATTTATTTATTTATCGTATCACAAGTGAGCCGAGGGTACAGTTGTAATGTATTTAAAAGTTTAAAAAACTTGGCATTGGGCTAAATGTCCTTTGACCAGTAGCTGGCTACTTGGAGTGCCTCTAGTGTTGCTATTAGAAGGTCCTCCATTGTGCATGTAGCAGGGCTCAGATTACATTGTGATAGGTGGTCTGTGGTTTGCTCTTCTCCACACTCGCATGTCGTGGATTCCGCTTTGTGGCCCCATTTCTTAGGGTTGTCTCTGCATCACGTGGTGGCAGAGTGCAGTCTGTTTAGTGCCTTCCAAATCACCCAGTCTTCTGTGTGCCCAGGGGGAGTCTCTAATTCAGTATCAGCCATGGTTTGAGGTTCTAGGTTTTAGCCTTTTTGCTTTGTGTTGATTTGTGTGTACTGATCTGCGTGTTGTTTATTTGAGATGCAAGAAGGTATTGCCTAGAATGGAGTAATGGAATGAGGTTGGAAATTCTCAATTCTTGTAAAATATGTTTTTTCCCCATTTTGAATATTTTTCCATCCCTATTCCTTTCTCCCTTTTGGGGGGGAGGATACAAAATGTGTGTAGTAATCTTTCACAAAAAGGGATTGCCTGGCAACCCCCCAAATTGAAGACACCATACAACAGTTGTGGGTTAAAAACTGGACAACTTTATTAACTGTTACCTAATTAAATCTATAACTGAATCTCTATATCAGGCTAGCATGAACATGTAGTGAATAGCCGAGGTGGTATCCCTTCCCGGCCTACCCCTCGGCTAAGTAGGGCGAAGCACCCGGTCCCCTGCTGACCTAAACCAGGGTGACCTTTAGATAATGTGTTGGAGGAATCTTCCCCAAGGCAGTTGAGGTAAGACCCTCCCCATTTCAAGCCATTTTTTTCTTTAGTAACTTCAGTTAATGTAATAACCAGTGATGTTTTACGTTAATGGCCTTCGTCCCATAAGGGGGTGTCTTGGGTGCACACCGAAATGTTTGTTTTCTAGCTGTTTTTCTGGGAAACCTATTTAAAGCACCACCAAGCCCAATCTGCCCCCTGGTAACAGTATAGGGAGGTGAAAAAACCTTCCTATAATTTAGGCGGGGAAAAATTCCCTACCCGGCTCCCCAAGGCAACCAATAGTTATATTGTTAATGGGCAGGTGAGGTGGGTCGGCGTCTGGCGAAGACTGAGCCGAAGGTGGGCTAAACTCCTCCGGCTCCGCCCCCAAAGTAGTTCCGGCTGAAACTACTTTGGGTTAGTTTCTTCTTTGGGGGGAGAAGACAAAGCTCCTTCCCCTCTTCAGCTGCGCCATTAGGGGAAAGAGGATTCCCTTTCAAAGCTCTCTCTAGATAGCTTCCAAAGTGAATCTCAGCCATCTTAAGTCATCTATCTGTAAGATATGGTGCCAGCTTGGCTGGCGACTTAATGTGGTCATTTTGACACCATTGACATATTTTATTTCATCAACAAGTAGATACCTGATCAGGATAGAAATCTAAAACAGTAGTATTGAAGTAATAAGACAGTGTGGGGCATGTTTTCTAAATAAGCCCAGCCAGACATTATGTATTACAAAAACGCACGTTTTGCATTTTACTAGCTAAAATATTTTTGCAGAATGCATCTCCAACACAGCTTTAAGTCCTTGACCTCGCCTTTTAGAAATTAACTATGCTGCTTATAATACCCAGTCTGTAGCATATAAAAGTGCATATGGGGATAATTTGAAATGTTAATTGTACACTAAATAATGTAAGCTTCTGTGCATCCAGGGAAGGCAGGGGGAAAGTATCTTTTTTAAAGATATGGGACTAGGCTAGCAAACATTAAATATGTTTTTTAAACTATTCATGGGGGAAAGATAAAAACCCCACTTCCAAATGACAAATGACAACTTCTTGGGTGTGTTTAACTAGAGTTTTGAACTCTGAGTATTAGTATATAAAGCACTAGCTGTCAACTGCCACACATTGCTGTGGCCCAGTCTGGTGATCTGGAAAATAAAGTAATGAGAAATTGTTGGTTTCCAATATATGTAAATTCTTTATGCTTGTGGGAAAACAGTATTTCTTGTTGTTTCTTTGTCAATGTTGATGTAGAGGTTGTGTGGTTTCCCTACTCTGGAACATGCAACATATAATAGTCCTTCTTTAGGAGTCCCTTTCAAATGTATGATACTATATCTGTTATATACATGTGTGTGTGTGTGTGAATCATATATATCTATCTATATCTATGGCTGGATGGCTCTTTGTCAGGAAGGCTTTGATTATGTTTTCTTGCCATGGTGAAGGGAATTGTACTGGATGGCCTTAAGGCAGCATTTCTCAACCTGGGGATTGGAAACCTTTGGGGGTTGCGAAGTGGGGTCAGAAGAGTCACCAAACACCACCAGAAAACACAGTATTTTCTGTTGGTCATGAGAGTTCTGTGTGGGAAGTTTGGCCCAATTCTATCGTTGGTGGGGTTCAAAATGATCTTTAATTGTAAGTGAACTATAAATCCCAGTAACTACAATTCCCAAGTCTCAATGTTTATTTTCCCCAGACTCCATCTGTGTTCATATTTGTGCATATGGAGTATTTGTTCTAGATCCTTCATTGTTTGAGTCCACAGTAAGTGGATGTAAGTGAAGAAAAACTCCAAAACTCAAACTCAATGCCCATCAAACCTTTCTAGTGTTCACTGTTGGTCATGGGAGTCCTGTGTTACAAGTCTGGTTCAATTCCATCATTGGTGGAGTTCGGAATGCTCTTTGATTTTAGGTTAACTATATATCCCAGCAACTACAACTTCCAAATGACAAAATCATTTTAGTGATTGTCACTCCTTAGGTTAGTGTGGCCAAATTTGGCAACAATTCATCCAGCAGATTTTGAGATATGATGTCACTCCAAACTAACAGAGCATTTATATGGAGAAACATTTTCTACTGCAGTTTACTGTGCATGTTTCAGGTTTTAATCTAGGGACCTTCTTATCCTGATACAAGGTTTCAGTCAAGATTCCCGGGTTCCAAAAATATACATATTGAATTGTTGCCCATTGTAAGGCCACTCTGAGTCCCCTTTGGGGTGAGAAGGATGGGGTATAAATACAGTCAATAAATAATGCATATATATTAGCATTAGTATTATTGCTAATGGTTTTGATTTATGTTTATTTAGTTTCAACTTTAACTAAAATGTTGACTGTATTTTAATCTGTAATGTGTTCTAATATTGTCTAACTGCTTTATTGTATTTCAATTATTATTTTTTAAAATTATGTCTACTTCTTTTATCCCAATGTATCTTGTATGTTTTATACCTTGTTGTTAGCTGTTTTGAATCCCCGATGGGGGAGAAAAGCGGGATATAAATTAATAAATAATGATAATAGCAACATCCCACTTTTCTCCCAGAACTGGGATCTAAAGTGGTTCACAAGCTTCAAAAACCCTACGAAATATAAACATTAAAAAGCAATTTGATATTACAGTTAATAAAATAATTATTAAAATGAGTAAACATAACCCAGTTAAAAACAATTCCTAATACCATACAGCACCCCCTGGCCTGCCTTAATGAAAGTGTTTTTGTCCTCCACCATAAGGACAACAGAAATAGGGGAATTCTGGTTGCACTTGGAAGGAAGTTCCAAAGTTGACAGGCAGCCACCGAGAAAGCCCTCTCTTGCATTCCCACCAACCATTCTTGCAGTGGTAGTGGGATAGATAAAAGGATCTCTCCTGTGGATGTCAGAGTTTGGGCAGGTTCATACAAGGAGATGTGATCTGCCAAATAGGTCCATACAATGAGTCCTTGGTATCTGCTGGGGTTTGGTTCCAGGACCTCTCATGGGATGTTATTATATGTAAAATAACCCATCTTTTTATATATTACAGGTACCTCAGTCCTTCAGGTGACAGCTACAGATGCAGATGATCCCACCTATGGAAACAGTGCCCGGGTGGTATACAGTATTCTTCAGGGACAGCCATATTTCTCTGTTGACCCTAAAACAGGTGAGTTCCTTTTTTCACTCTGTTTGACAAACTAACATCTTACTACTGGAGGGAAGAAACTTCCCAGTCTTCTATCACCATTAACCTGATCAATATATGTGGCTAGGAGTAAGACATTTGAGATTTTGAAGATATGAGATTTTGCTGCCACAATTAAACTAACCAGTTATACAAGAGCAAATGGGAATGATAGAAATGTGGCCCAGTTATGTTTAACTGATCAACTTGATTTTTGCTTTTCAATGTGATAAGCTTATTCACTGGTATTGCTTTATGTGACCAGGACTGAAGCTGTAAACATAACAAGAAATGGAGTTGAGTGTAATGTGCTCAATGCACGTAGCCATATGTTGCTACATTCTAAGGTCTTGATCTATTGTGTTTGTACCTGGTCATTGACATGATAGAATTTCCTTGCTCTGATTTTTTTTTTCTGAAGCCCTCCATCATGTCTAAACCTGCTCCAGAAAATTTCCAAGAGATCTGTTTGTCTATCTCTGTTGTGTGTCTTTGGCATTGAATGTTTGCCATATATGTGTACATTGTAATCCGCCCTGAGTCCCCTGTGGTGTGAGAAGGGTGGAATATAAATAATGTAAATAAATAAATAAATAAATCTGGGACAACTTTTGTGGCCACATGAACTGGAGCAGGGATGGAGGAGAAATCTTCTCCTGCAGGTTTTGACCTATAAAGCTCTATACGGTTCTGGCCCAGCTTACTTGTCTGAACGCATCCACCCCTATGTCCCATCTCATAATCTAAGATCATCTGGGGAGGCCCTGCTCTCACTCCCGTCAATTGCGCAAATGCATCTGGCAGGGACGAGAGACAGGGCCTCCTTGGCGGTGGCCCCTCGCCTATGGAACACACTTCCAAATGAGGTGAGATCTGCTCCCTCCCTCCTAGCTTTCAGAAAGAAATTAAAATCATGACTTTAGGACGAGGTCTTCGGACAGTAGATGTTTGTAGAGTTTAAAGAACATGGACTAGAATGACAATAGTAGTGTATTGAATACAGGAACATGGAACAACGGATTATGAGATTGGATCTTGATTCTACCTATGAGACGCTAATGAGATGTTATAGTTATGTTTAACTGATTGTTTATTATATCATTGTTTTTAACTGTTTTTATGATGTTGAGCATTGAATTTTGCTATTATTAACTGCTTTGAGTCACCCAAGGGCTGAGAAAAGTGGTATATAAATGAAGTAAATAATAATAATAATAATAATAATAATAAAAGTCTTTGCTGGGAACTTTATTTATTATGAATTTCTTTAGCAGTCCTATTAGAGCCTGACTTTCACAAGTCAAGCCCCTGTCTATTGGGGATTGTATTTTGTAAAGAAACTCTTTACATCTGCTTGAAATGTATGCATATATGTATGTAGTATTATAATGGAATTGTTGATCCCACTTGAAATGACTCTCATTGAAATGAGCAGTATTATTATCCTCTTGCATCATAAACAAAATAGTCACACTCAATCCTTTCTTCAAACCAGCTTAGGAGGTAGAGAGGCATTCCAAACACTTAATACTTGGTAGCAAATGGAAATGGTTTTGGTCAATGGCTTCTCTCAACTGGGATGTCAGTTAGCATAACCACACAGAGATTTGAGATTACAAACAAATACGAAACAAAGTGCAATAACTGGTAGTATAAGTGCTGATAATGAGAGCAAAAATATTTTTTATATTTCAATGTGATTTTTTTCCATCCATAAGTTCCAGACAATTGGTTACATGCACCATGGACAATGTGATAGAGAAGCATTTATTGTTTATCCACTATGTCATTTTTGTGTTTTCCAGGTTCGTTCTTCAGGCCTTGTAATTCTGCCTCTTAAATGTTGAAACATAAGGGGTTTGTATGCAGGCTTAGAAATATTATTGTACACCAATATTATAACAAAACAAGCTGCATTTGAGTTCTGTTTATTTTTGCTGGAGGGGTGATGGTGGTACAGTTCCTTTTCCAATATTTTTAACAAAGAAATGTGAAGCATTAATCAAAAACCTTCCTTGCTTATTTAGACAGAGAGAACTCCCAACTTGTGATCAATACAGCCTTCCTTTGAACACCAGAAACTTCCCTGCTGTTTGATTATGGCCATTTTATATTGATAAAAATGTTGTATTCATCTTTTCCTTCTGAAATGTGAAAATGTATTATCAAAATAATACTGGGCTTACAGCTCCATCGGTCACTAAAATATTGCTGTTCAGCAAAAAATGAATGCAACTGTTCTTTCTGATGGAAAAAAGGAATAGTTCTGAAGTTATATGTAGCAAATATTTACAGCATGTTCCTTTTAAATGATTCTGCAGAGAATATTTGTGCATAGGAAGGTACGATATTGTATTGAGGCGTGTGTGTTTCTGTTGATTCTACTGATATATAAAGCAATGTTGAGTCATTTTAGATTTGAATGTATTAAGCATGTGAAGAGAAATAAGTACATAGCCCCAAGTCTTTCATTGCTCCTTCCTTCACTTTTTTTTTTTACAAAGGAGAGTTTACTATATCTTGGAGACAGAATTGTAAAATAGGTCAGCAGTACTTCTGAACAATATCTTTTGAACCTATTTTTGAAATAATGCCCCAGTGGCACAATGGGTTAAACCCTTGTGCTGGCAGGACTGAAGACTCAACAGGTCAGAGGTTCGAATCCCCGGAGAGTACAGATGAGCTTCCCCTGTCAGCTTCAGATCCCCATGTGGGGACATGAGAGAAGCCTCCCACAAGGATGGTGAAACATCCAGGCATCCCCTGGGCAACGTCCTTGCAGATGGCCAATTCTCTCACACCAGAAGTGACTTGTACTTTCTCAAGTCGCTCCTGACACACACAAAAACCCTGTATCTCTAGTTAGTCTCCGTGCAGTATTAAATTGATTTTCTGGATTTATGGAAGCAGCAATCAAGTTGCATGTTTCCCATCTTTGGATTTTTTAAAAAACAATAAGTTCTAAGCCCCATTCAAGCATTATGCATTATCTTTTTTAGAAAATAAGAGAAAAGGAATGCTTAGACTTGCCAATTTATATTAATTGATTGATTGATTGATTGATTGATTGATTAATTTCTCCTGAGATGGGAACCAAGATGGTTGATGTGAAACTTTCATTAATAATTTAAATCTCCTTTAAAGTTAACTACAGATTTCTAGAAGCAAAGTGGACTGATTCCAAAGTTTTGTATTGCTCAGGTTTCACACATTAAGAATCAGATACATATGCTAGTGGGGACTGGTTGTTTTTGTTGCTGCTGCTGCTGTGTGTCCTTCAGTTGTTTCCAACTAAACAACTAAAGTTAACCTATAACAGTGTTTTCTGTGGCCACTGTATGATTCACCCAAGACCATCTAGTGGGCTTCCATTGCCCAGCAGGGATATGGACCTTGGTCATAATCCTGCACTTAAACCACTTCTGGTTACTTCTGAGGTGAGAGAATCAGCCATCTACGAAGATGTTGTCCAGGGGACGCCCGGATGACTTGCAATCTTGCGAGGAGGCTTCTGTCATGTCCCCCTCTCATCTACAGAGACACTCGCTGGAACACCTCAGCAAGCGAGAGTCCAAAAGTGGCAGGCTCAAATCCAGCACCTCACGGGTTATACCAGATGAGAGACTCCCCCCTGGGCACACAGAGGACTGGGCGACTTGGAAGGTGCTGAACAGACTGCGCTCTGGCACCACGAGATACAGAGCCAATCTTAAGAAATGGGGCTACGAAGTTGAATCCATGACGTGCGAGTGCGCAGAAAAGCAAACCACAGACCACCTGCTGCAATGCAACCTGAGCCTTGCTATATGCACAATGGAGGACCTTCTTGCGGCAACACCAGAGGCACTCCAAGTGGCCAGATACTGGTCAAAGGACATTTCATCAACTACCAAGTTTGCAAAATTTGTGGGGTTTTTTTATCTGTTTGTTTGTTTTGTTCTGTTACAAATGTAATACAATGGTCTGGTTGCTGATGACACGATAAATAAATACTTAAACCACTAGACCACAGCTGATGTCAGTGACTGATAGCTTCAATATAAATGGAACAACAGATCGGTCTAAAATCAAGGAACTTCTCAGAAGCATTATGTCAAAAATATGTTCAAAAGATATTGTTCAGAATTACTGCTGACCTCTTTTACAATTCTGTCTCCAAGAAGTTGACATGTAATATCTGAAAACATAGACAGAAATAATTCTAGTTAAAGAAACACTTGTCTGTAGTTTTATATATATATATATATATATATATATATATATATATATATATATATAGTTACCCTTTTACCAAATAAATCTTAAATTCTACATTTGGTCTGAGGCAGTGAAAAGACTTCTGAAATGTATTTAACACCTCCTCATTGCAACAATAATGGATCAGATTTTTAGTATAATTAGAGATAATGAACAAAAAGGAATAGAAAAGAAAATCAAGTCTTTTGTTAAAAATTCCCTTGCGAATTTAAGAACTATTTGAAATAGGTCAGAAATAGACTTAGTATGATATCTAGCTAGAATAATGGCCATGCAAAACATACTTTTCATATGCACAGTGAGTTAAGCTACTGTGGAGCAGTTTCTCTGCAAGAAAATCACTTCCAATTAATTTCCAAAAGCAGTCTCTGCAAAAGTACTCTGTGTGTGTGTGTGTGTTTGCACAGCTAGCTAGCTATAAACTCACGTAATTGTGTTTCCTTAAAATAGTCGTCATAGGCTCAGTTCGGGACATTTATGACCCACAGTTTCTCTGCTATCTCATATTTGGGCTATTTATATCACAATTCAAATTCCTCTTGATTATCCCCTCGTCTGATTCCTTTTTTTCCTGATATCCTTTCTTTTTCTCCCTGTTTGTCTCTGTTGTTTATTTCTTAATCCATGGTTGAATAAGGACCTCAGCACACTGACAAAATCAAGTATCCTGGGGTGCTTCCAGGCTGCTTTGAGGATGGAGTCCCATGCTTTCTATTACACAATGT